TGGCCTTCACAGTGTTTCTTCTAACTTGTTATTATAGGAAATTCAAACATGCAGAGGGAATTGTACCATCAACAACACACACCCATCACTCTGCTTCAACAACGATCAACTCAGGCCTATCTTGCTCCATCCTATACCCTCCCTCGCTTGCTTCCCTTCCCACCTTCAGATATGTGGAAGCAAATCCAGAGATACCATTCCATTGCAAATATTTCACTGTGTATCTCTGTAATATGGGAATTTGGGGGATTTTGAGACAGGATCTTGTTTTGTTGCCCAGGCTGGAGTGCAGTGGCGTGATCATGGCTCACTGCAGCCTCCACCTCCCAGGCTCAAGGGATGCTCCTACCTCAGCCTCCCAAGTAACTAGGGTTAAAGGTGTGCACCACCACACCTGGCTAATTTTTTTAATTTTTTGTAGAGATGGGGGTCCCATTATGTTTCCTGGGCCGACCTCAAACTCCTGGGCTCAAGTGATCCTTCTGCCTCAGCCTCCCAAAGTGCTGGGATTATAGATATGAGCCACTGTGCCCAGCCAAGAACTTTTACATAATCCTTTTTGACAATTTTTTTTCCCCTAGAAATTAGAAAGTTTTATAGAAAAAAAAATCCAGATTTCTGTCTTCTCTTAAAAATTTGGAAGCTCTGCCAATCCTGGGCCCAGATGGTAATCACTGGTTAGTGCTGAGTAAATGTTGACTTTTTAGAAGAGGGGTGTGACGTCTACTTTGCCACAGTCCCCGCCACTCCCTACCTGGCCATCTGACTCATAACACATCCCTGCCTGGCTCCTTTAGGCGTTTAATTTGTGTTGGAAATTGACCTAAAGGAGATATTAGAGAAGACATTAAAAACTTGAAGAATGTGAAAATCAGCCAGGAGATAGAACTGTGCTTTCATGCGGGTTATAGAACCACACTGGATATGAGGCATTTCGGAATAAACTTTGAAAATTGGAAGTACCAGTTTGTGAATTTTGCTCAGAGAGACCAAGGTGGAGGGTGGGTGACAGTGGAGAAGCATCTCCTATGTGCCAATCTCTTCCATCACAGGCCTTTTCTCATGAAATCATCAGTCACATGCAGTAGGAGAAACACCTTCCCATTTTACAGATGAGAAAACTGAGGCAAAGAGAGGTAAAGTAGGCTTCCCAAGGCCACTCAGGTCATGAGCAGCAGAGCTAGGATTCAGACCTGAAGTCGACCTGACTCTAAAGCGATGCATCCTCCCCATGGTCCATCGCTCCTTTAAAGAGGCCCGGAAGACAGAATTTGACAAAGTGGTAGCCCGTGGGGCCTGGGATGGGTGGGGAAACTACACTAGGGCTTGGGGCTGCTGAGGGCCTGAGGGAAGGAATGGGGAGCCCGAGGGCAGAAGTAGAGGAGGGGGCTGCCTCATAGCTGCAGAGGGCATGTGGGAAGAGGCTCTGCTGAAGGTGGCCAGGAGGGCAAAGGTCACGGTGGCCATCGTTATATAGTGGTGGGGGGAGAGGGGCATGGCTTCTTCTTGACCCTCTTGGGTGAGTCAAAGATTTACCCTCCAGACCCCTGATGGATCTCTTTGGCCCCTTGAGCCTCCTGAGTCCCCAGCCAGGGCCCTGGGCACTTTGCTGGGAGCTTGGCAGGAGGTCCGGCAGCCCCCATTACTACCTAGTTCCTTACCAGCCCAGGGCGTCCGCCTGCCTCTTCCCTGCCTGGAAGGAAGGCCTTCAGCCTGGTGCGTTCCTGATGCAGCCTCCACCGCCTCTCAGACTCTCACACAAGCTCAGCTCCCTGTCGCGTCCTCTCATGGCCAGGCTTCTCCTTATCACAAGCTTAGACTGTCTGAGTAACTAATTGGATTTGTGTCTGCCTCCACACAGGACCCTAAGACCCGTGGGGCTGAGACTCCGTATATACTGGTCGTAGCCGCACCCCATCCCCTTGCATGGCGCTGTCACACCCAGGCCGGCCACTGACTAGCGCTGGAAGGCAGCAAACAGGAGGCCGGCCACCTGACTGATGGCCCCACACCTTCTCCCTGCAGGCCATCCCCTTTTCTGGAACTATCCAAGGAGGTCTCCAGGACGGACTTCAGATCACTGTCAATGGGACTGTTCTCAGCTCCAGTGGAAGCAGGTGTGTGTGTGTAACGGATGGAAACGTTTCACTCCAGCCTCGTCCCTTAGTAAACCACTGCCTGGGAGCCTGGGTTAGTTCAGACAACAACATCCAAGCTCACGTGCCTGGCTCAGGGGAGGCCCAATGCGTCCCTAACCCATGCCGCCGGGCACCACTCCGCAGGCACAACCTGCAGCCAGGGGCGCCATTAACCTGGACTCCGGGATGAATGGGGCCCTGGGAGCTGGCGGTCTAAGGAGGGAGTGGGTTGGTCAGAGTTGGAGGATTATGTTCTGGGTTGAACCTTGCACACTGTGACTAAGAGTTACAAAAATCAAACCTCTTCCATTTCCCATACTGCTCTCATCCACTCTGAAGCTCTCCTTCTGCTGATGTGAAAATATTGAAAATCGCCATCAAAAGTAATTTGGTCTCTTTTGGTTTCAAGGCCTTTTCTAGAAACTACTAAGTCAATTAAAATACTAACATTGTATCAGGGCAGTTTCCCACCCCCTCCTCCCTCCCAAGGTAGGCTGTCTGGGAACAAAGAGGAGCTTACATGGCTTCTCAGGGGCTGGGAGGGCTCCCGACCCTCACGGAGGTCTGGCTGCCCCCTGCTGAGGCACCCTGACCGGGTGGCACAGAGGTGTGCAGCTCTCTCCTGGCTTGCTGGGAGACCACGGGTGGCTGCCTGCTGAAGTCTGCGGGGCCCACAGAAGAGCCTCTGGTCTCATGGCTCACTCTCCGAGGTCCCAGGGGACCTCTCCTTAGGACCTTCTGGGCCTCACAGATCCCAGTTCAACCTCAGCTCGGCCACCTAGATTCTTGGTGACCTCCTCCGCCATTGCCATCCTGCTATGGGACTTCTCTGAGGGCCTGCAGTGCCCCCAGGAGATGCCAAGGGCAGGGGGGCCCCTGATCCCCCTGAACCCTCCAACCAGGGGAATCAGGACCAAGCCTCTGATCTTCCGCCCCTTCCTCTCTCCCTGTCCCTCTGCCTCCCCCACCTCCCAGCACCAGGAGGGCTTCCCACTCCCATCCTGTGGAACAGACAGATCCTACCTCAGAGGGCGCTCTCCTCTCAGGAGCTTTCTGCCTCTCCCTTCCTTGGGGCAGGAATTTCCAAAGGACTACAGGGATGAAGCTGAAGGACTCCAAAGGAAAAAATACAGGCAGGGATATTTCACATGCAATCTTCTCCATTTATTCATTTAATTAACTAATTTTTTTCTTTTGAGACAGGGACTTTTTTTCTTTCACTCAGACTGGAGTGCAGTGGTATGATCGTAGCTCACTGCAGCCTCGAATTCCTGGGCTTGAGCAATCCTCCCATCTCAGCCTCCAGAACAGCTGGGACTACAGGAGTGCACTATGATGCCCAGCTAATTAATTTTTTTTTTTTTGAGATGGAGTCTTGCCCTGTCACCAGGCTGGAGTGCAGTGGTGCTATCTGGGCTTACTGCAACCTCTGCTTCCTGGGTTCAAGCGATTCTCCTGCCTCAGCCTCCTGAGTAGCTGGGACTACAGGTGCATGCCACCATGCCCAGCTCATTTTTTGTATTTTTAATGGAGATGGGGTTTCACCATGTTGCCCAGGCTGGTCTCGAACTCCTGGGCTCAAGTGATCCACCCGCCTTGGCCTCTGTGTCCAGCCCCAATTTCACATGCTCTTTACATTTGTTCTCTTCTTTCCATGTGCTGGCCTCCAACAAGTGTCCACTGGCACGGGAGGCTGTCTCTTCTAGGCATGCTTAATGACGTCCATCTTTGGTATCAATTGGTAATCACTTTCAAAGACCTATGCTTCTTGTTTGCTAATACCAGCACTTTGCCTTAACCATTTTCTACTTATTTTTAGCAAATCATGCTGTAAAGGCAAAATGTAATAATTAAAACAAAAACACATTAGATCCAAATTAGAGAAACAAAAACGATGCCAACCAAGCAGTCTCTGTCATGCAGGTTGTGTGCAAGATCCAGACAAATGCAAAGCACAGGTGCTCCTGTGCCTATCACTGGCAATAAACCATGCCACAGAAGACCGTTTGCTTTTCCTGGGCCTAGGTTTGCTGTGAACTTTCAGACCGGCTTCAGTGGAAACGACATTGCCTTCCACTTCAACCCTCGGTTTGAAGACGGAGGGTACGTGGTGTGCAACACAAGGCAGAATGGAAGCTGGGGGCCCGAGGAGAGGAAGATGCACATGCCCCTCCAGAAGGGGATGCCCTTTGACCTCTGCTTCCTGGTGCAGAGCTCGGATTTCAAGGTGAGCAGGAACCCCCTCCCCACCTCTCATCCCCGGGACCCTCAGCCCTATCAGGTGAATGGCCTTTAAGTAATCACTTCAATTGACATTCAGCCAGAGCGACACCACTACACAGATAACACGACCATTTCCTTGTAAGGTGTTACCCATGGCTGCGTAGTCTCCTTCTGCACCTTCACCTGAATCTACAGGTGCGCCTGCTGCTTCTTTTACTCTGAAAATAAGAACCAGAGGAGTCATCACGTTGCTGTTTGGTGTTGTGTGTCTTTGAATTCCAAGCTCATTCCATTCCTCTGCTGTCACCACTCCTCCTCTCCAGGTCCCTGGTAACATTTATTTTTCAGCGACATTGTTCCAGCCTTTATCCAGGGTCTATTAAAGGTATAGTTTTGTAAGCACATTGCAAATTACCTTTGCAAGCAGAGTAGGTCTCTGGGCTTGAGAAGCCCATGGGTCAGTCAGTCTGAGTATGCTTATCTGAGATAAGGATGTTCCCATCCACTCAGTATGCAACCCAAGGTCACCTCTCCTCTGCTCCCCATGAGTATTTTATGCATATTTAAATAATACCCCTGCAGCCATAAAAAAGAATGAGATCATGTCCTTTGCAGGAACATGGATGGAGCTGGAAGCCATTGCAGGAGCAGAAAAGCAAACACCGCATGTTCTCACTGATAAGTAGGAGCTGAACGATGAGAACACATGGACACAAGCGGGGAAACAACACACACTGGGGCCTGGTCAGGGAGGGAGAGCATCAGGAAGATTAGCTAATGGATGCTGGGCTTGATACCTAGGTGATGGGTTGATCTGTGCAGCAAACCACCATGGCACCCGTTTACCTAGTTAACAAACCTGCACATCCTATACTCGTACCCTGGAACTTAAAATAAAA